TCGTATTTTATTTGATTACTGTAAATTATTTATTCTAAAATATTCGTTTCTAATTTTTCTTGATAGCATAATCATACGTTTATTGTCCAATTTCATATATTTATTCAAGGGTAATTAATTATACTTTCAGAATTAATGGCTCCTAATATAAATATAAATCAACCTGAAGCCAGTACAGAAAAAGGTGACTGTCTTATTTGTAGTCGTCCAAATAATGCAACTTCGTATGAAATTACAAAGTGAAATAAAGCAAAAAAGGGGTGATAATAAATTTAAAATTTTTCAAAAATTGCAAACATTAAGATTACATCGTGTTGGTATTATATCCGTGGTATCTCCAAGAATAACTTTCGATGTAAAAAGAATTTTATTTTGTAAAAAGTTACAAAATTAGTTTACAACAAAATAACTGTCGAATCAAGAAGAATACATTCCGTCTAGTTTCTAAGTAAACATTAACAACTGCCAAAAACCAATTTCACACAATACTTGATTAATAGTAACAACATTTTTAGATTAGGCAGAATTGACATGTGACAATTTAGAAGAGAATTACTAAATTTAAACAATTCTTTGATTTATCTCAACACATCGTAATTGTGTTTCGTATTATAATGATAATCAAAGAATCGAGTCAGCTAAAAAAAATACAAACGGTTATCAGATACCAAAGAGTATTTGAATGAGTCTAGAAACTTCGACTTTGATAACAATTGTTTTTTTTTTGTGTCAAGCATTTAAGTGTGCCAATTACTGCCAAGATGCAGGTCAAATGTAAACACACGATCGACAATTTTATTAACGAAATCAATGCTAATCCAATGAATGAAACGAATCGTTTCCTTTTATTAAAAATTGTGAAATAAAATTTATTATCACATGGTATGTTTGAAACAATTTTGTTTATCGCACATTTGATACTAATGGTAAGCTTGTATCAGAAAAATTTAAATTTTACGAAATTCATAGTCAACACTATAGCTGATTATGAAAACTCAGTCCTCGCTTAGAGAACTTATGGAATCTTACGAAGGACAAAATCCCAACGATCAAGGCATAATAACCCAAATCAAAAATCATTATGAAGATATAATAAAAATTACCAACCATAAGAATGAATAATATACTTCTATAACAAAAATTCTTATAGCAAAAACATCTCCAATGCTGGGTACAGACAAAAATCTTGGTATAGTATCCAGAGCTGTGGAATATACTTTTCAGACGTTACCACAGCTTCATGAAGTTACCATAACACCTGCTTAGAATGCAAAAAGCATTCCAAAATAATTAACGAATACGAAATTGCACGATAATATATACAGGGTGTCCTATTTATAATAATTAAAAAAACAACCATGGTTTCCTGACACAAAATATAACAAAAAAGTGTTACACAATTTTTCAATCAAGTGACAGTTGAGCTCGCAAATCGTCTTTGCAAATTTGAACGTACAATTTGTTTCATTACGGGCCTGGATGTAGGTGACTAACGTCGCTCAGCTGATCTCGTGTGGATGTAACAAGTACCTACCGGGAAGAAGCCGAATGCACTTCCACGTTGTAAAAGAAACTAAAAGTGAAAGAGAAAAGCGTACCTTTTATAAAAAATTTTAAAATTGCTCGCCATTCGCCTCAATGCAACGCTGACAGCGGCGTACCCAGTTGCTGCAAATTTTGGCTCAGATACCGAGAATATTTCGAATTATACGGTAGGCGGCATTGATAATGTAACTCACCACCAACTGACGGTTGAATAAGAACCCTACTAGAATGCACTATCACACTACTAACAAACAACTAAATTCCACAACAATCCAAAGCAAACTGAACAACCTGTTAGAAACTATGACATTATGTTGTGTATTTATTCCAGTCACTTCCAGCAGTGTAATTATACGAGGTTATATCAATATTTAGCTTTTTACATTAAATGAAAACAAAATAACCGACTTGGTCCTTCTGGACACATCCTTGTATTACCCCACGTGGGGTTAATGAGCCCTGCCTGGCAAAACTAACGTTTAGCACATGTGAATGGTCAAAATAGGTCTGCATCTTGTCTCAACTATTACAATCGTAACAGATACATTTGTTTTCGTACACTAGTACGTTATGTTACAAACCTTTACCAAACGCTGGATAGTGAGGGTTCTTTGTACACCGCTTCTAACTATTCCGTAGTCGTTAAAATTTCTTGTCTATTTAAAATAACATAATACTCGACGTCATGGGCTACATTAGGTCCACTTCAGTTTACGATCATGGAATTTTCGATTGTGATAGGTACGTAGTTTTTCTAACATTTTCAGTCATCTAATGGACCTTAACGCGAGTGCATCTTCTTCGGCTGATACGTAACTTAATACCAAACATAAACAATAACATTACCCCAAAAAGCAGCTGATTCCCACCTACTGAAGGTGATTTTTTCTACGATCAGCTGGCAATCGTAATTAATTTGCGATTGTGCAGGGCCGGCATCAAAACTGTTATAATTTTATAATTTTTTATTTTGTTTCAAAAGTCAAAAGTGTTATAACATTTTATGTTCCAAATGTCCATAGGAATTTGTGGTATAAATATTAATTATTATGACTGGGACACCCTATATATGTAGGTATTTAATTTCTTTTTAATAGCTGTTTAAATAGTTTGTGAATTTTTGTTCCCATTAAAGAAGACATTGCACAACGACGAATAAGGAGAAATTGTAATTAAAAAAGGTGCAAATTTAAGGGTTGTTGTGACTTTTGATGAGATATACAATTAAGACTATACGACTTTTATTGCCTGAATTTGCCAGGGGTAAATAATTATTATTGTTGCATATGCATCTGACCGATCCGACAGGACTTGAACCTTGACAAAACTTTTGTACAAACAAGACTAGGTGGATATGCTTGCGAGTCTAGCTGATTTAGGAAGACGGACCATACGTTCAACCATAATGGGGATTTCTTAAAGAGAAGCCAGACTAAGGCAAGTACCTGAAAGAGGGCAGCAGCTCTTTCAGTACTCAGGGCAGAGCAGACATCATGAGGATCGGTATGGCACTCTGATGCACAATACTGCGATGCGGAGGGAATGCACATTATGATCCCGAGTAAATGTACGTTAAAAATTAAATGATGGCGTCCTCTGGGGTAAAGCACACCGGACGCAAACTAGTCCTCCATTCGGATGTCCGGGCGGGGACTACCTCCGGAGATTTCATCAATACCAACAGACCAAAATCCGTGGGTTTAACGCAATTTTTAGGAGCATTTGTTCCTGCGCCATCCCTCTCTGGGGCTCCACCCTTCCCCGACGTCTTTAAATTCTACAAGGCACCTACATGCGGATTCTTCGTTCCGCACTCGGCTACCCATGGTTCATCAGAAATTCACAAATTCCGAAAGAAACTGGTCTTTCTTCTATCCCCGAGGCTGCAACCAAATTCGCAGCAAATCTTAGGGCCTCAGTGTCTGGCCACCCAAACCCAACTACCTCGACACTATCCAACTTCGCCCCTAAACCAAACGACCGTTTCAGGAGGCTCTGCCACCTTCTTCACTGAGCTGCACACATCGGCTCACCATAGTTCCGAGCTGTCCACTTTTGCTCTTTTCAGGTTCGAGCGGTTCCTTTTACGCTTTTTACTAGTTTCGCTTTTTAAGCGCGAGTCCCCACCCTACTTCTGAGATGGGGCACCTGCTCTCACCTTCATCATCCCTCCCCAAGCACTCCCATCCCCATCTTTACATCTCCCTCTCCCTTATATCCAAATCTTTCCCTTGGGAGTAACAGCTTTATAGTTGAAATCCCATCTCGAGGAGGGGTTTTAGTCGGTAGGCGTTACGGCGAATCCGACACTACCCCCCTTCAGGGGGTGTCTTTTGAAGATTTTCCCTCCTCGAGGCTAAACTAAACAAAAAAAAAACACAGAAGGTCAGCCGGCTGCCCTCTTCGCCACTCGCCACTACCAGTCGGCTACGCCTTAGCTACCGGTACGCACTAGTCGGCTACGCCCTAGCCACTATTTCTCGACGGCTACCCTCTTAGCCACGAGGATCTACAACGACAACCTTCGGCTACCTTGTTAGCCAGGATCAACGACACATCGCTCGGCTACGCCTTTAGCCAGCTATCGCCAGATATAGCTACAGGTATATCTGCACTATCTATTGGGACACACTGTACGGATGCCACGCCACCGTCGAGGCGCCTCTACCCGCCGCTGGAGACAACGAAGAGACCGTCACCAAGGACGCATCCAGGGACCGCCCTAGACCTTGTCTCCCCAGCAACTGGCCCAGGTTTTCCAACAGCTCCGGGATACCTACGCCCCGCTTCCCGAGCACCGTCAGCCAGCCAGTGTTCCCAAGGATCACCGGAAGTCGCCGTCACCGCGACTACCTACGTTGCCTACGGTCTCGCCGCTTCCCGCTCCGCTGTCGCCGCTCTCGTCAACGCCGAAATGCGCACGACCATCTTCAGGGCTGCGCTACACTCCGGTGCCGCCACTCGTGTCTCTGCTCCCTGCGACACCTCATCGGCGGGTCTACCGGCTCCGCCGGATCGACTTCAATTAAGTTTCGTGCGTTGATTGTGTTGTGAGTGACAAAGACGGTCATTAGGTTAGGTTAGGTTACGTGTCTTTTTCATATATGTATATATCTAGGTTACAGTAGGATTAGGTTAAGGTCATTATTAGGTTAAGTAACTTGTACATACATATATATATATGTTCGCATTACTTGTGTTGTTCCGCCTCGTTTGTATCGACTGTATATATTCAGTATATCATGTTTAATAAACTGTCGCTCGGGGCGCTCACCCCATTCCACAGATCGCTGGGACATACCCTCGTTCACGCTCGTAGTAGTTCTTCGGCTATCATTCAATACTATCGAATTAAGCTTGGATTTTTTTTATATAAAATGAGTCGTGGACGGTTACCAGAAAGTGCAATACTTGAGGAATTACTAAGAGAAGACGAATAAGAGAGTGAATCAGATCTAAGCGACCAAGGCTCTGAAACTTCCGACCACAACGTTGCAGAGGAACCGAATCAAACTGCTCGGACTCAGAAGAGGATGATTTGCCACTTTCAGAAATATGTTGCTGTTTTACAGGGCGCGATAAAGTAACGCAGTGACAAAAATCTAACATTAACAGAGTGAGACGTCAAGTTCAAAATATTCTCAGGGAAGATGCGGGCACTTATAGGAATGGTGTGGGGGTGACAACATTTACGCAAGCCTGGAGTGTATTCATTTCAGAGAATATTATTGAAAAAGTTGTTTGATATACCAAGAAATTTATTAAAAAAAAGCGCCATCGTATAACAGAATACGAGACTGCAAATTGACAGATGCGGTGGAAATTCGAGCACTTTTCGGATTGTTGTACATAGCGGGATCCTTGAAGACATCACACTCCAATTTAGAAGATTTATATGCAAGTGATGGGACAGGTATACCTATTTGTCCTACCACTATGTTAGTGAAGAGAGTAAAATTTCTACTGAATTCACTGCGGTTTGATGATGTTACTACACGACAAGCTCGTCGTACTGTAGACAAAGCTGCGCCAATAAGAGAAGTTTTGGATATGTTTACACAAAACTGTCTTTTGCCATATTCAGTGGGAGAGAACGTTGTAATCGATGAGATGATGGTTGGCTTTCGAGGAAAATGTCCTTTCCGACAGTACATGAAATCAAAGCCCGACAAATACGGAAACAAACTTTATCCACTAGTAGATGCTGTTATGTTTTACGTTCTAAATATTGAACTTTATGCTGGCAAGCAGCCTAAAGGCCCATGTCACTTAAGAAATGCTGCGGCAGACGTCGTGAGGAAGCTAATAACACCAATTTCTGGCACTGCAAGAAATCTTACCATCGGCAATTGGTATACCAGTGTGCCGCTGATGAACGATTTGGTCAAGGATTATAAGATTTCAGTAGTATATATGTAGCGGTTCTGGATCAGAGTGGGGATGACTTTTTTTGGTATTATTATCTCCTTTCTACGCATGCGCGGGGCGTGGCTTGTAATTTTTTTTTTCTGATTGGTTTTTTTTTGAGAGGGGGCGTGGCTTGTGATATTTTTTTCGACCAATGAGAGGTCGTTATTTTGGATAGGAGTGGGGGTATGACCATATATGGAATTTTTTTTTTTCGAGGGGCGTGGCTTGTGAAATTTTTTTTTTTCGACCAATGAGCGTTCGTTATTTTGGGATAGGAGTGGGGGTATGACCGTATATGGAATGTTTTTTTTTTTGTTGAGGGGCGTGGCTTGTGATATTTTTCTTTTTTTTTTTTTTCGACCAATGAGCGTTCGTTATTTTTGGGATAGGAGTGGGGGTATGACCATATATGGAATTTTTTTTTTCGAGGGGCGTGGCTTGTGAAATTTTTTTTTT